TCATGACAAAAAGCTTCCATATGGCAATGTTTAGAGAACAAGGTGTGTCTGTTGCAAAAATACAAAATCCAATGTAAAGTATTGAAATAATTTTGTTTCACTGCACATTTTACATGTGTGAATACATCTGATTTTTCTCTGTATTCAAATGTCTCCAGCAATGACTTTGGAAAATATAGCTATACTTTACACTTAAAATTGTTTCGTTTCTGTTTCAGTTGTACTTTTTAGCAGCACAAAAACTTAAACAGTGACCAGCCTGGAGGATTGTGCATCTAATCACGTGGTCAGCAACACAGGAACACCACAGTATCAGAGATGAACAATGAAAGATGAACAAGAGCTGGTGGAGCGCTTTGTGTCCTGGTGTGGGAACAATCATCTCATCTTAAATGTGAAACAAAGGAGATGATAATTGAGTTAATTGCTAATTTCAGAAGGAACATGGTTAGATCAAACTCTATTTCCATCATGGGAGAAGAAATGGAGGTCGTTGAGGAATATAAATACTTCAATGTTCATTTGGACCAACAAACTGGACGGGAAAATCAACAGTGAAACTGTCTATAAGAAGAAACAGAGCAGACTGAATTAATTGAGGAAGCTAAGATCCTTCAAGGTTTGAAGCAAGATGCTGCAAATCTTTCATCAGTCTGTTGTTGAGAGCATCATCTCTGCTGCCATCATCTGTTGGGGCAGCAGCACCTACAAAGACTCAGGCTAGTTCTGGGAACGACTGGAAAACAACTGGAGATGATGATACAACGAAGAAATTTATAGAAAATCAAAAAAATTATGGACACCCTTGACTATACTCTTCACGAGTCATGAGAAATCTGAAGATCTTCAGTCAGAGGCTTCTTCAAATTCAGTGCAATACAGACTGCTACAAGAAATAATTCCTGCCTGCAGCCATCACCATCTACAATAACTCTTTCAAAAATCTGAATTAAAATATTTTAACTCACCAGTTGAAACTCTTGCATATCGGAGTGAAGATGTTTGTGGCTAGTACTTATTTCTTCATTTATTGTTTTTTTCAATTCCTAAGTCTTAGCAGGGTGGTATTTATAGATCATAACTGAACAAGAGACTGATCTACCTGGCTATTATTTCCTGATAACCAGGTGTCGCCCCAACATGGTCATTTTGATCTAGATTTGATAAATTGCCCTCAGTAATTATTTCTAGGTATTTATAGGTATACTTATTGTCTTTGAGTTTTTAAACATTTGAAACACAATTTTTATGATAATTCCTGGTCATCTCTTGCTTTACACTTAATTACAAAATAAATAAACAAATAATGATCCTTATCTCTGTTTCAGCCAATGAGGAAACTGGTGCATCTGTGTATAGTTGGTGCTTCAAAACCAAACTAAAATCTTCTAAACTAAGAATCTCCAATGTTTGCATGAGGAGATGATGGTAAATGTCTCACATTGACACATTTCCAGTGATGCAATGACCCATATGATGCAATTTAAAATATTTATAATTTGATCCACTGATTGGTAGGCCACTCTGGGATGAGTGTCTTGCCTAAGTGCACTTTGAAATATGGTGTGGAGAGAAGCTGAACTCACAACTTCCCAAATGCTAGAAAAATACTTTTTTCCCAGCAGTGCCACAGCTGCTCAGATGTGAATGTGTGCGTGCGTTTGTGTGCGTGTTTATATCTAGGGCAGCTCTATATAGCGGTTTTAATTTAGATCATCATAATAAGAAATGGGACCTAGTGTTCTCTCTGAGGGCTAAAAAAACACTTCATCAGCCTGTCTTCATCACTGAGCTGACATACACACATATGTTAACATGTAAGACTTTAATAATCAATGCAAACATCCAAAGTATTTTAATAGGCATGCTATGATCATACCACCACTCAAAATCTTGATAACAGATGTAAATATTCTTTACTTGGAAACAACATGGTGTCAATTATAATTCAATCTGGGATTTCAGGGTTTAGTTTTGTCACATGTCAAAGTGACATTATGGTTCCCCTTTGTCCACGAACATGCACGACAAATTCTACATAAACATTAAGCACTTAGACGTAACGTGATAGTGTACAGAAGCATTGCATAAATACATGGTGATAACAGGTGGTGGTTATTAAGACACAGAAAAGAACACATTCCAGATAACTTCGTATAACCTTAATTAGATCAAGTAATTAAATAAGTAAGATTTCACTTTGTCAGGTTCTGAAAACATGGCATGTTCATTTTAAATAAGGAAGATATGATTCATCTGACTCTGGGAAAGTCATTAGATTCCTGTCCCAAATAGCTACATTGTTGATACATTACATATGATCAATTAAGATTATCTGAGCCCTGATAATAATAATATGTTTCTTATACTCCCTGATGTGTCTTTGTGTGAGTGTGTGTTCCACATAAATACAGTTATGTATGATTAAGCTGTGCATGCTAACAGCCATATGACCTCTCTTCAGTTCAGGCAGCAAGGCTGACCTGTCATCCTGGGCCCATGTGTTCCATGTAAATATTCATACCAAAGTTGGGCCAAGAAATTATTTCACATAAAAATTGTGATTCTCACCAACTGCAATTCAGAATTGATATAACATTGTCCCAAAATTGATGTATAAATACAATGAAATAAAACAAATCCTCTGGTTGACAACCTCCATTCTGTAACTCTACAGGATGTTCTAATGAACATCTTGTGGAGTTTTGGAATGGAAAGCAGCAAAACAGAGTATACTTAAAAAATGCACAGGCTGCTGAACTTTGCCAGATCTGCAGTTTGAGCCTTATTTTCTTTTCTGTTTCAGCCATTTCTCTGAATCACTGTTTGGTAAAAAAAAAAAAAAAATCTCTGAAAACAGCTCCACTCTCTCTCCTCTTCTGTACTCCTGTCCTCCTGTCCAGTGTTGCGTCTCTCACAGACAACCGCAGAGCTCAGATCACTGGAAGAACCCTGAAATTATTTTACTGTTATCAACAAAACAACATCATTTTATAAGCAGTTATTCTCCATTAAAGAAATACTAAAGTCATGTTAACAAATTAAAAATAATATAAATGATAATGGTAAAGGTATATGACACATGGTGTTCAGCCTTTTTAAATCTACTCTGATACAAAATGATTTACTTTGACCATCAGTGTTAAAGTCTGTTTATCTAAAATATTTTACCTAATTTTAACAATGCACACTCACAATTCACAAACTATATACACTCTTGTCTAAATTTTTCATTATGTCTTGCATAATGAAAGACATGATTAGAACTTTTGATAGAACTAAAGTTAGCAATACTGAGGAAGACCATTAGGAATGAAGCAGAAATTATTCAAAATAAAATTTTGATTTTGACTTGAATCATGGCCCCAAAACCATCATGAGGTAGTGATGTAAAACTGGACTGTTTATTTCAAGAACACAACCTAACAGAAGAATTTTGAGGGAGCCCAAGTCTTGGTAGTTTCTTTTGATAGATCTAAAATTTAGCAATACAATAAATAAGAGAGACAAAAAAATTGACATGCATCTCTTTTCTTGGATGAAAAAAATATGATCTGACATCTTTCTTACTAGTGAGTTTTGACTTTAGTCTGACTCTGCAGTCAGACTCTGTACGAAAGAAAGTGTAGAACAAGTGTGGCATTTTTTTCGCTCAACATTGACAAAGAGTATGGGCAGAGTTTTAGATGTGGCTCTCCTATTTCATTATGATGCATTCAGGTGAAAAAGTAGCACCTTTCCAGCAAAAGAACTCAACATTGTGAATGCCTCAGCATTGGTGCTAGAATCGAAAGTCTTACTACTTTCTTGTAATGTAAAAACTGATACTGTCAGGGATGCGATGGTGAAAATATGGTTAAAAACGTGCACAATTTTAGATCCTTCCCCTCCACTCCATTGACAATAAGGTATGGATTATACCTATACATAAAAATCTCTTTATAAATCAGGGATTAGGAGCCCATAGCACCATATTCTGCTGAAGGGCTATTTTTATTTGTAATATTGTAGCATATAGCATATTATAGCACCGCCTGCCCCCTATTATTACTCTGGTTTGGTTGACTCTGTTACAGTAAATACTTTTAATTCTCACATCCCGATTGTCCGTTGCCATCCTGGTTGTAGTACAACTCCACACCATCTCAACAGTCAGCACATTTCTTTCTGACAATAATTTTATTACTGTAAGTACTGCATGTCTTTAGCTAGCCTGATGAAATATTATTTGTGCGATTTATTTGCAATGATTTCCATTTCTAATTTAAAGATATTTTGCAGCCACAGCCTCGTAACAATGGTTAAATCTAAAATTATAACAGATAAAAATTGCCCGATTGTCATATTTCCTAATTTGTTGAGGCATTGAAACACAGTGAGTAAAGGTGGGTGAGGTGTGGCAGGAGGCATTAGACTGCAGTAGAGTCCAAAATACCAAATCTGACTGCTCCAGAACAAATATGAAATGTTACAGTATCTGACAAACCTAATTCTCTTTCTGCATATGCATCATTATTCTAAATGTAAGGTAATTATTCACAAAGTTCTTTTTTGTGATTATATAATAAAATGTTTTAAAGACATTAGTGTTGTAATGGTGGATGTGCTTCCATTTATTTTTCTTTTTACTGTCTTTTTGTAATATGTTTGCTGAACCTGTGTCCTTATTTTTAGGATTCAAATGTCAATATCAGTATTTCTGTCCCTTTAGTATGTAGCAGATTTCAACAGTCAGCACATTTCTTTCTGACTTCGAAGTGTTTCTGTTTTGATCGGTATGTTAATTCTGCCACCTTTTGGTAGTTTTCTGTACTTCATATACTGCAATGACTCAAACCCTCCTCTAAGTAGCTTGCAAAATATGAATATTAAAATTTTGCTGAAAGACACGCTTCACAACATGCATTGTGATTTTACAATGATGTAAATTTTAAACATTTTAATGTAGAAATGCATAAGCTTGAGATGCAAATGTAACATTTTTGATTCTCTTCCTGCAGTATGTGGCCTTGGCCTCGTTGTTTTTCATCCTTCTCTCGATCTCCACCTTCTGCTTGGAGACCCATGAGGTTTTCAACACCATCTACAACAAAACAGAGAATGTCACTACTGGCAACGTAACACATGAGGAGGTAAGGCAACAATATTAGTATTAAGGCTATAGTTGCTATAACAAGTCCTCAACTACTCATTACATCTCAAAGGCATTGTTTGAGGTTTGCATTGTCTTTTTTCTTTACTGGATGAGGGAACTATATGCAGTTGTATCACCAAAGTATATTTGAAAAAACGTCAGTGCATGTTTTTATGAGGAAGGGGGAGAATAAGTTATACTTCAACAAAGTTGTGTTTATTTTTTTCTCTGTATTTAATTAGACCCAAAGAAAGAGCAGCAAACTAAATAGTACTTTATACAGTACCCATGAAATATAAATAACATCATAGACACCGTAGAGAATCAGAAGGTAAATACATTTCACTAAGTAAGTAATAAACTCCTCTAATTCCTTTTTTATTTACTTTACAGATTGTATATGAAGTTGTGACAGATGGCTGGCTGACATATGTGGAGGGTGTCTGTGTCATCTGGTTCACCATTGAGGTAGTGGCCCGGGTCATCTTTTGCCCTGACAAGGCAGAGTTCTTCCGTAGCACCCTTAACATCATAGACTTTGTGGCTATTGTTCCCTTTTACCTGGAGGTAGCACTTAGTGGCTTATCCTCTAAAACAGCCAAAGATGTGTTGAGCTTCCTACGTGTGGTACGTTTTGTCCGTATTCTGCGTATATTCAAGCTAACCCGCCATTTTGTCGGTTTACGGGTTTTGGGCCACACTTTGCGGGCAAGTACCAATGAGTTCTTGTTGCTAATCATTTTCCTGGCGCTGGGCGTCCTCATCTTTGCTACTATGATCTACTATGCTGAACGTATTGGAGCTGACCCGAAGGATCCAACTGGTGCAGCCCACACCAACTTTAAGAACATTCCCATTGGCTTCTGGTGGGCTGTGGTGACAATGACTACTCTTGGATATGGAGATATGTACCCGGAAACATGGTCGGGAATGCTAGTGGGTGCCCTATGTGCCTTGGCTGGTGTTCTAACCATTGCTATGCCTGTGCCTGTTATTGTCAACAACTTTGGGATGTACTACTCGCTGGCCATGGCAAAGCAGAAGCTTCCAAAGAAAAGGAACAAGCACATCCCAAGAGCGCCACAGCCAGGAAGTCCTAATTACTGCAAACCAGATGCTCTGGCAATGGCAACTGCTTCTCCACATAGATTGATGGGAAATGTAATTGGGCCAGGCTTGGTGGAATCTGGAAGCATGATTGGTACTGGAGACTGTCCATTGGCACAGGAAGAGATCATTGAAATAAACAGAGCAGGTAAGTTAGATTAGATTAAATATGCATGCTTCAGAATATCATCAAGGACATACAAGACATTGTGTGATGAAATTAGCATGATAATAATAATAATAATAATAATAATAATAATAATAATAATAATAATAATAATAATAATAATAATAAACCTTTCAGGATTAATAATTGGTAATAATGACAACTTGGGGATGTTTTCTGCCAATCATAATACCAAATCTTGCTCTGAAATCTCAAACCATGTATTTTGCTTAATTTTTCAGTGAATCCATTTACTTTATGCTCCATTCCTTTCTAGGTTTATGGCAGATCTTTTATCAGATCTGCCATAAACACAGTCTATGAACCTGGGAAATAGACTTGAATGAAAATGAGTATAAAAAAACTCAATAGAGAAAAGTTAATGGACTTTCACTGTATTTCTCAGGGATGCATGTCGGTGTCTTAAAGGACACGCAGTGAGGTGTTTTAGCTTGTTGAAAAATGAATAAATAAGCAGTCTAAGAAAAAAACAATATTTCAGTTAATAGCTGAACATTAAAGCTTGGTAAAACTTATGTTAAAAAATTTTATTTCAAATATTTACAGGTATTATTTGCAGTGCTGTGTCTTTCTTTTGTGAATTATGAATGGGTTGTTGAGAGAAGTTTTTTTTTACAATGTATAGAAATCACAACAAAATCACAACAAGATCAAAAAGCTAGTTCTAAATCAATGTAAAGTTGAGCCATCTAGATCAGATTCTACGTTGGCTAGACTCAATTGTGACTTTGGTCGGGCCATTCCTAAATGTTAATATCGCTTCTAGGCTTTGTTCAAACTAAAATATTAGTTTTCCGTTTACATACAATGACTATCATTTATTTGTTCTGTTGAAGTTGTGATGTTCCCAGTGTAAACTACTTCTTTTTTTCTTTGCCAGTTGTATTTCATAATTTATATTTTTATTTTTGCACTTTTTGTAGTAACTGTTATCTGTTTTTTCACTTTTATTTTGTCACTTTATTGATGTTACATCTCTCCATCCATCTACTTCACCTTATTTCTAAGACTCTAAGCAGAATGGTGATGCAGCTGCCAATGCAGCAGCTCTGGCCAATGAGGACTGTCCTACCATAGACCAGGTTCTTGGAGATGAGCGTAGTCCAGTCACTGGAGGACTTGGCTCTAACACCAGCCGTGAACGGTACCCACACGACCGTGCCTGCTTTCTTCTGAGTGCTGGGGAGTTTCAGCGAACCACAGACGGGAACGTTCGGAAAGGTAAGCGAGCAACAGGAAAAGGGAACCTCAGTAAAAACAGTAAACCTTTACCTGATGCATGTTCTTGAAAAAAATTATACATGTTAATGACACATAATGGTACAAAACTAGATTCAAAATGTACTGACACACTCAGAGAAATTTGTTTATACTTAAAATGAAGTAATGTTTCTGTTAAAATACCTTCTGTAATACATATAAAGACACATCTTCTCACAGTTTCCTACTAGAACCATTATTAGGTGTAACAGCTCAGCTTCATCAGTGTCACTCCCTTGAGACTGATCAACTTTGCATGAACTGTCTTGTGGCACATAAAAAATCATTCAGATTTCAATGGGATGTGGTGGTCTCTTTGCCACCAAGTATTCACTCTTTGTGGAAATTTATAAAGATCAAACTAGAGGTTTGGAGTAATTTAAACTCAGCTTCAACCTTAACGTGCAATTCATGTCTATCAAGACTTTGGTATCAAAACTTTGGTATCAAGATGAAAAATAATTCTCACATCCTTCAGCAGAACCAAACTCAGACAGCTATAAGAGGCTAAGAACAGACATAAAAAAGAGCTCAGCTGAGTTAGTTTTTTGGTAAAGGAGAATGATTTGTTATGTATGTCCCATCCATATCACTACTTTAGTATTTTTGGACAAGCAGAGGATTTTAGTGACCTACGATCATAGTGAGATGAAATTCTTAGATTTCCTATTTGATCTGGTCTTAAAATAATTGAAATCTAACTCTCAATGATCCTTTAGTTGTTACTAAAGGACTAAGAATACTTGAAAAATATTGCAAAAATTAAGAAAAAAAAAAAAATTAAGACACACAATCAATATAACCATAATTGTTAACCATAACTTGCATTTTCTTTCTTTTTGTCTTCATTTTCTTAATCACTTTGAGAAAGCATGGCACTAATTTAGACACTTTTACAAAGATGAAAAAGCGCTTTCAAATAAATAAGGTGCACAAAGTAACTAGAAAGAGTATTTAATGGAACCAAATCAGGGACAATGACATTGAATAAAAAGGGCACAAGATTCCCCCCAGAATAGTTGCAAACCCTGGCAGTATGGGTGCTAGGACAGTCCACCGGTATCCTACCAGGTTTTTGTTACAAAATGTTAAGACTTGACAGAACATTTTCAAATTTGACTCAGTAAATATGTACCATTGGAAGACATAGTTGACAATACTTAAACACCAACCGAAAAAGGCAAACACAAAATAATGTGAGATCAATATCACTTTTATATCTGCAATGTATGTCTATTTAAACAACCAGTGAAATCGGGTGCGTCCCTATGAAGAAGCACTGTACGGGAATGCATTCAGTGCATGAGTGTGTTATTGACTCATTTTGAATGTCTTTCTCTGCCGTTTAGTTATTTTAAATAAATTATGTTCACACCAATAAAACATATATAGTTGTATGCCAAAGATTTTCTCTCCTTTATCCTGCTGTCTCCCTAAAATTTGGGATGTTCTCCCATTGAGAGTGACATTGGCGTGTTCTGTCATTTATTGTTAATATCTGCTTATTCAAAAAAAACATCTCTTTTTTTTTGTCTTCCATCACCATCAATGCGGCTCGTACCACTGTGTGCACGCAATATCGTTGTTTGCACGCAATATGCGTATCAAAACGTGTGGCCTAATCTTGGCATTAGGGCTATGCTAAGGTTAAACAACATGTAGTTATTAGCATCTATAGTATCACAAGGATGTTGTGCCAATGAAGATGTAACCCATTCAGAATCCTAAAACTAGTGAGCACATCAAATATGAGCTAAAATGCTAATTTAAGCTGTAAGGCTATTGTTAGTGTGAGGGCTATCACTAGTGTGTTAGTAACCCTCAAATGTTGATGCTACCATGAGAATGTGTTCTATCACATGTCTGTGTCCTAAGCCAATATTCCATTGTACTAATTTCTAAGCTTAATATGCAAACAGTAAGAAAAAATTAAGATTTTATTTTGAAATTTTTAGTGAGCTTTATTTTAAAAGACCACACCAATCGCATCCATAAACGTGGTTGGGTAAAACCAGCCATATGAAGCCGAAAGCAACAATTACCTGCTGTGAAAGAAATGAAGAATCTTTGTAGGGTTGGTCTTATATTCAAGGTCCAATGTAGTTGTCAGATTGGGGGATCAAGTTTCATGAGTCAAATAGATTTGCTTTCCTTGGTTTTTTTGCCATCTTGCCTGTCAGTTAGTGTTCCACCAAGACGATGTCTTCATACCACCACCTCTTCTCTCCTTAGTAGTGTTTATTTTGATTTGATTGTTGATTGATTTTTGCTAATTATGTTGCCATGGTTGCTCATTATGCCAACAAAAGTAATAGGATACTTCATGGAATCGAGCCATAAGTTTTGATATGTTGTGGGGGTACATGCTGCAGTTCAGGCTGCATTAATGTTGTAAGAAAGCAGCAGCTTTTTTTAGGTAAAGAATGCACATAAAAAAAAGCGGAACATTTACCGCAGGCATTATGTCAAAAGCACAAAGGAAGTAAGTTCCATTTGACCCATGCCCCTAAACTGACAACCACATAGACTATATGCATGGTACACTTCGGCCTTTTAACTACCTCGGCCCAACTCATCCAAAAATTTCCCTGTAGTTGGGGAAGTGACATCACAGAAGGGTTTTGGTGCCGAGGTTGGAGTGAAGGACTCAGTGGGGACCTCTGGAGGAGATGGGTTAGCTGGAGGTTCTGAAGAAGCTGTGTTGATGGTCCCATGGTCCCTTGAGAAAGCACTAACTATGCAGACAACACCTCAGATCCCTATTGATAATAAAAGTTTTTTTGAGAATGACAATACTATTAAAAATTAATTTGATGGTTTCAGTAGAGAAACATTAAAAACCTATAACATTTAAATGTAGTATTTAATTGAGAAGCTTACTTTGTAAAAGTGAAAATAATAATCATTATAGTTTGATTGTTGTGCTAATTCTAATTCAATTTAAAAATACTTTATTATTCCCAAAGGAAAATTAAATATAGTTGTAATTCATTAATTTAGATTTTTCAAAGAGTTGAAGATTATAATGACTCTTGGCAGGAAGGATTTCCTGCAACAGCCTGTAATGTTCCGAATCTGAACAAGCATCTGATTTAAGATGCTCTGCCTTGCCAAGTTAGTGTTGTGAAGAGAATGGTTCAGGTTGTCCATAATTTTCTTGATCCTATGAACAATCTTTCTTTACATAATCATCTCAAAAGTTTCCACAGTCGTCCCCAGAACAGAACCAAAACAGAACCAGCTTTTTTTATCAAGTTGTTGAGCCTTTTTAGGTCCCTGGTTCTGATGCTGCTGCCCCAACAGATGATGGCAGCAGAGATGATGCTCTTTTCAACAGACTGATGGAAGATCTGCAGCATCTTGCTGGAAACCTTGAAGGATCTTAGCTCCCTCAAGAAGTCCAGTCTGCTCTGTCCCTTCTTATAGACAGTTTCATTGTTGATTCTCCAGTCCAGTCTGTTGGTCCAGATGAACATTGAGGTATTTATATTCCTCAACCACCTCCACTTCTTCCCCCATGATGGAAATAGAGTTTGATCTAACCATGTTCCTCCTGAACTCAATTATCATCTCCTTTGTTTCACATTTAAGATGAGATGATTGTTCCCACACTATTACACAAAGCGCTCCACCTACTCAGCCTCTTGTCCATCTCTGATACTGTGGTGCTCCTGTGTTGCTGACCACCTTGTTAGACACAGTCCTTCAGTCTCACAAACTGTTGCCATAGCAACAATTTGATGCTGTGAGTTTAATCTTTATATTTGAGCTTGGTTTGTTCACAAATGCATCGCAGAAGGTTTGGACGATATGGAAAAAGTTGTACCACAATGGCTCTTTTTTTTTATATCGTTAGACATAATATTAGACATAGGCATAGACATAGACATAGAAAGAGTTTATTGTCATTCAATTGTATGTTTAAAAAATGTGCAAATTGAATTTTTTTAATTTAAAATGTCAATCATACGACTGTGTTAAATAAGAGGCAAATTTTAAACTGAAGTCTTTAAGCATTAAAAGAGAAAGAAAATGGACATATTCTTTTGTTGACATCAAAAAGATAAAATAGCCAGATATCTTCAATATCCCCGTAGAACAAAGGATCCTTTGCATTACTCAAAATGCCTCCTTTTCATTTCCATAAGCAGTGTATGTTATCTTTCTTAATTGCTGTCCAAAATATGGAAAACATAAAATCTGAAAAGAAGCGAGCTGAGCAAAACCATCTGACTGATAATTAAACTTACACAAAAACTGATGAGTTGTAAAGATCATTTTTATTTCCACAGAAATCAGTTTTTTAAAATTATGTACCAGTTTGATTATTCTTCTCTTTATTTTCTTTTCTTTTCTTTTGGGATCAATAAAGTATTATTGAATTTTCAATTAGCTGTTTTATGTGTTCTAACAGTTACTGTAAAGCAACATATATCCTTTTTTGATGTTCAGTTCCTCTTCATTCTTTCACCAATAATGAGTAAATTTGCTTTTTACCACTGTGATTAAAATACATAATTGGATAAATAACTTGTTTAAAAGTCAAAATTAAAAGTTATGAAATCTGGACTCAATTCTGGTGGACGTGTGACAAACTCTGTAGTTAAGCCAGCTCTGCTTTATTCATCCACATTTTCTGTTCTGTCTGAACAGAAGTCCATTATTATAAATTATAAAATTTCAACAGGATAAAAATACAAAAAATAATTCTTAAAGATGGACTAAATTATTATATGCTAAACAGTAGTTATTTTTTTTCATAGATCACAAACTGTGTTGTATTTACTGCAGAATAATTTAGTCCTATATTGATTTGCCTAGGTCCTTATAACTTTACATGATAAAGTCTGAACACCAGAGCCACATTCACCTCTTGATACTTGAAACGCATTCATATGTGGAAAAGGAAACTGGAGTATCCAGAAAGAACTCAGACATGCAAACTCTACACAGAACATATT